ACTAGCCACACCTGAAGTTCCTGCCACACACCTGTTGGTGATCAGGGCTCGTCGGGGGAGCTACTTAGGAGAGTGTTGGAGCTCCCGCCAGGGTTGGTGTTGATGGCTGTTTCTGTGGTTTCCCCCCCAGGTGGAAGAGTGGACCAGAACAGCAGCACGCACAGGGTGTGCGAGAACACAACAGCGGGGAGCACGAGCACACACACACGGGATTCAAGGGAGCAACGGGGAGTTATTGTGTTTACAGCCTTCACTGTAAATAAAGTGCACTGTTTGCATCGCAGAACCATGCGTTTTGGGTCCTCATTCCCCCATATCCCCACGGTCTGCCAGCCAGACCGTGACAGAAAAATTGTAGCTCAAATTGCTGGTTCTGATAGAAAGGTCATAATGTGATGCCTGATTGGTGTACGTGTGCTGTATTCTGTAAAAATACAGGTGTACAATGTATGTGTGTGTGGTATACTAGTGTCCATCCGAGTAGTGGAAGATCTGTCAATCATTGTTTATATCCAAGTAGTCCACCCGTCGACTTTTCACCTACTTCCTGCTTCTAGGGAAAGAACTTTCAGAAGCCTTTGACCTTTGGCCTTTCCTCTAATCCTAATGCAAATAACAAATACTGAAAAAAATAAAGAACTATATAATATGGCTTTACGTTGTATAATAAAAGATAAAGCCAGTTAACAGCTTGAGAACATACAAAAATCTATTCTGTACATCTGCATTCTTCATGCATCATTAAATGAAATGGCAACAACAGAGTGAAGGTAACAGAGCCTTATTTAACTTAAGAATGAAAATGTCTTATTTAGTACAAGTTAAACGTGAAATAAGATATAAAAACAGAGGAGCACTGATATGGTTTATAACAGTAGTCAGTGTTAGTGTTCATGAAACTAGTTTCACTCTGGAAAATGTTGAACAACAGCAAAGCCACCCTAGAAGTTACCTAAATTTCGTACATGTCCATCAGTCAGAGCGTGTGGCTATTGCTCCAAGCAGGATTATCTTGTTAATTAAACAGCAATAATCAATGATTTGTGGAAGCTTGATTCTGTACAAGCTCTACAAAGGTGCGTGGTGCTGGCTGCCTGGTAAACACCTGCATGGACATGCTTTGAGGAGCTGAAGTTTCCAGTGCATACATTTGCTTTCCAACCGTGTGCTCAGTTTCTGCTTCGTCACTAATCAAACATGACATGCAATAAACTACATGGCCCACACAGATATGAGTCATTAATTGCTGGCCTGCCACCATGGTTACAACACCTCTCTTCATAACTTTGGTGATGTTAACAGCCGTGGTGAAAGTAGCTGTGAGGTCACTTTGCCTTCATGAAATTCTCATTTTTATCATTGTCTGATTCACTGGCAAAAACAATGATAAATAAAATAATAAGCTGTAGTCCTAGATGATCACATAATGTCATTATCATTGCTACACTCTATTCATAACCACACAAACCCTTCGCTGTTTTTAATAAACTGTCAAAAGGAAAACACCCTGTCTGGAGATTCCTTTGATCCTCAGAGTTTATCTCTACACGAGGTGCTACTGAGGCCGACGTGAAACTATTCTTATCACAAAAGTGAAAAAGATAAATACTCCTGCTGCTGCTTTCAGGAACAATCTATTAACCTATAACATATTCAGCTTCCCCTAGGTACTGTATATACCAGTTCAGATATAGTTCTACTTAGATTACAACTGTAAGCCCTTTCTAATAACACATGAACACATAATATTGTTAAAAAGTTTCTGGCTAAGCTGCACTTACAAAGACTTAGACTTCACAAATTGGACACACTGTGTCACTTTGTGTTAAATTACTAATCTGATTACTGCAGTGAGTGGGTAGCTGTGAGCCTGTGGATCCATCATCCAGACTACAGAAAAGTCATTGTGAAACATGTAAAAACAGGAGAGAATTTCTTAAGCGTAGGCCGTACGACAGACAAAAGACTGAGTGCCGCTTTGTCCTCGGCAGTTGTACCTTCACTGTCCAACTTTGATTTTACAACGTGAGATTTAGATCACACTAAGTTTTGGGAGACGCTGCTTTTAACTCTGAACTAACAGGGATAACGTTTGGATATCTTGAAGAACATATGGATATCTTGGTGGTCTATTCAGTTCACCAAATCACAAAAATAATCCCTGCAAGCTGCTTTATAGTTTCAAGGTAAAGACCCTGAAGTAATACAGAGAACAGTTAGACGACCACCTGTGATCATTTAAAACTAATAAACCTACCTCGTCTAATGTACGGGAGCTGCTGTCTCAAATAAAGAATTTTATAAGTCTGGGTTTCACTGAAGAGTTTAAGCATCCTGTAAACATTTTAATGCAGCTTCTGGGGTTTTATTCACTTTACATTGCTAATAAACTGCTGATTAGGAGGCTGTAAAACATTGCCCACAAAACACCAAGAAAAATAACTGAATTCAGCTATATAACTACGCATTATTGTATCAGTCTTTAAGTAAGAGTTGGGCAATACACATTACATCATTAAACTGACTCTTGTATGTCTCCCTGTTACCATCCCTGCATGCAGTTTTAGCATGCTCATTGGCTGGCCCTCCAGTGAGAAAGCTCTTATATAAGCCAGGCAAAGCTCTGCTCTAAAAGTGTTACAACACAGAGGACTCTGCAGCTATTTTAATTCTGCAATGATTCAGCTTTTAACTTCTCTTACATATGATTAGGAGGAGAAATCATCAGCTGAGATCATGAACCACTGGAATTAATTTTGTTATTTACGTATTTTTGACAATGGGGACATTGGGGACCACAAACAACAATCATACTGCGTATTTCCAAAAACTCTATTGACAAGGTGGCTCTGGTGGCTTGTCCACCAGTCAGAGAGTTGGCTGTTTTATAGCTCTACTTGTTAAATGTGATCTTGCGAGACACTAAACTCAAATAAACTCACCTAGCATGTGCAGCAGTATGAGCCAAGACCAGATACCACATTTACAAGCCTTACAATATTGTTGGGTGATTTTGGTGTTTTCATGTGACTACAGTGAGGCTTTAGCTTTAGCCGTACAAGCAGTAATTTTTGTCCCACTTGCACATTTATGTTCTAGTAAAAGCTAGGATATAGAGCTATCTAGGCTTTGCTACTCACATACACAGCTATAAACACACAAAATATGTATGCGTGCAGAGTAAACATGCATACATTCACACATGCTGTGGTAAACTATAAGACGAAGATTATGGAGCAAATACACAATTTTACAGCAAGGGTGTAGACACAGTATGAGTTAATGAGTCGTTGCTCCCCTGAGACGTGTGGGTGAGCAGTAATAACTTGATTCCAGATGTTTGGTGGTACTTCCACATCTGTCTTTTTGTGCTCTCGTCCAGCATGTGACAGTGTGATCTAATTTGTGTTGTACAGTTATTTCATTTTTAACCTTAATTTATATTTTATTCCTTCCTAGTTAAATTTACCCCTTTTTAATTTTTCATATTTATTTCCTATCTTATTCATAGCCTTTCCTTTTTTGTTTTCTTTAGGTCACGAGCAGTTGTCCAAGCATTTCACTACATATCGTACTGTGTATGACTGTGTACGTGACAAATAAAATTTGAATTTGAATTTGAATTTGATTTGTAAACGAATGTGACCTTTGCGTTCTGTTTCATGCCACAGCCACATGTGCAGAGGCTGCAGACTTCAAAATGTTCGAAGTGTGTGAGTGATAGCGAAAGGGCCTGCAACAGCAGACTGCGGAAAGTTTCACTATCGAACCAGTCAGTGTGTTTTTTTAACAAACTCGACCCATTAATCAACCAGCTCTGTTGTCTGATGTCTCTTTGGCTAAGAGGCAGGAGTGCCATTTACACTCTTTCACACACCAGAATGCCGGATGAGTCAGGATTTGAGGCCTTTCGCACATGAACTATGATGCCGTTCACTGTTGCTGGGAAGGCGAAAGGAAACAACCTTAAAAACTCAAGCGTTTGCGATTACGGGGTGGACAAATGCCGATGCTGTAAAACCAGTAATTCCTCCTGCTGGGACAGGTTTTGAAAAGGAGCTGTCTGGAGCGACACTCTCAGCTCATTCATCGGTTCTCTCATGTGTCTCTACGAGCAGCTGCAGCTCAGATGGAAGACATGCTTGGCTCCATATGAGGTTTCTTAAACAGAGATGATGTATGCAGTCTCTGTATGGTTTTACATTTGTGTCAAGGGCTTCTTCTTACAAAAACACTTTTGATGTTGTCAAATGAAGCTTCTATGAGGAGAGATAACCGTGTGATATTTTAGCTTTGTTTAAAAAAGATCAGCTTTGCAGGCTTATATATAAATTCAAATCAACTGATCTTGGATCTGCTTTTTTGTGTGTGTTAATGAAGGTCACCATGGCCCAGTGTTTGTCACTGGTGCATCTGGTCACCCCTTTATGAGGAGATTAACACAATTAAAATGTCTCTGAGCATGGGTCAGACAAAGAGACTCATTAATGCTGATTTACTGCACACAGCCTGTTTTTAATCTTGGGTGCTTTTCAGACGATGTTAGGCCTCATATCACATCTGCAAGTACATATTCTGGTTTCCTGTACTAGCGTAGAAGATGGCGAGTTGTGATTGGAGAGCTCTTGAACTTGTTTAACCAGTCGCAGAGTTCCTTCTGGGAGGCGGTTTGAAAGTGAAACTTGAGTGAACTTCTCATTTATACAAATGAATGAACTCAAACTGTTTGCACTGGTGCCGGTTTTACACTGAACGGAACAAACTCTGTAACTGTAGCTGAATAGTGGACTGCGCGCATGTCTGAAAATTACGCGTCAAAAAGTCATCATGTGACTCGCAGGAGAGCAATCATGTGAACACAATTACTACACGTTTTAGATATTTTTATTTTCATTTTAAATGACAGCCGCACACTCCTCTGCAGACCAACAAATTATGGGCTAACAAAGGGACACACAGAGAGTGAACGCAGCCACACATCTAGTTGCCGTTTCACTGACCTTGGCTGACCGGTGGGTTCCCAGTAGCGGCAGAACAGGTGCAATCCGTCTGCGTTGACGATGTGCGGCAGGTCAGAGTAGGGGACTCCCTGCGGACTTCGCCGCGGAGCAGCTCCCGGCTCGGGCATGGAGGAGTCTGTAACAGAGACACGGAGCAGCGATGACAACACGTCGCTGCCGTAGAGGTAGCAGCTGAAGCCGGCGACGAGCAGGCAGGACGCGGCGGTCACGGCGTTCATTGTTGTTTTTGTTGTTGTTTAATCACTGTAAGCAGTAGGCGACAGTTTGTGCACGGTATTATTAGGGTGCCGTTCTGGATTCTAAGCAGAGCGCGCGCACACACGCACACACATAAACACACACAAGCAGAGGCTCGAGCGTCCGGCGTTACGTCACGAGACCATATGGGCTCTCTCTCTCTCGCTCTCTCTCGCTCTCTCTCTCCACGTGCTCTCTCTTTCTTTAACCCTTCTCTCTCTAATTGAGTTTAGACACCTACACTGCGCCTGCGATGTCACCGAACTGCGTTACTACACTGTCGTGCACGAAAACGAGATGACAAAAAGCGCGGGAAAGCTCTGATGAAATATAAATGAATGTTTACTTGTTTAGTTTCCACAGGCTATAAATTATCAGGCAAAGTTGGAGAGGCAAGGCTGGGGTGGTTTTGGCACGTCCGGATGAGGATATGCTGGACAACAAGTGTCGAAGATGGAGGTGCCATGTAAGGAAGAAGAAGAGAGGAAGACCACCGAGGAGACTGGTGGATGTAGTGAAGGAGGGAGAGGGTTAGTGTGACAGAGGAGGATGCTGGTGATGGGGTGAGATACAGGCAGGTGATTCGCTGTGGCGACCCCTAAAGGGAGCAGCCGGAAGAAGAAGAAGATTTTCCCTAGTTCTAAACTGTATAAACTGGATTAGTTATGCTGTAAATGCAGGGGAAAAAAAATCAAAATTCAAAAAACAGGGATATGCCTTTCCAGTTATTCTACCTTTTCTACTGCTCTACAAATCTTATTGTATCCTACTTCTTTCTTCTACACAACACCCCTTCCTCCTCTCTTTTCCTTCATGTCTTGCATCATTGAGGCTTTTTTTCTAGGTCTATCTGAATACACTGTGTCAGTCTGCATAGTATTGGTGGTTTACAACGAAGAGGGCGGCGTGTGTAACACTTGGCAAATCACCTGATATAAAAATAGCTCTGGTGTGAAGCAGTTTTCTGAGATATCGCGTCGTCCCTTTCAGTTTTGGTGAACTGCAACCCAACCTTTTATTTATTTATAGATTGAATTAAATGAAAGAAATACTTAGCTACAATGTGAGTAAACTCTATATCTACTTCCGCTCAACATTTCCATTGTTAATTTAGGTTCAATACCAGTAGCCAGTGATGTCCGGACATCCATATTCGGGTGTATAAGAATGGATTGTGATTGATAGTTTTCCCTCAGCAATGCGCTCCGTGTCTGTTTTCGTACCCGTTTCTATGCGGGGAAACGTGGCTCGTGCCCTCTTTTGACAGGATCATAAGAGGGCAAATAAGTCAGTGAGTAACAGTATTCATGTGTCGCACACAGGCGGAAATAAGCTTCCGTTCGTGCGGACTTATCATTACTGGAACACATTGGCGACATGTGTGTACAAAACCCCCCTATTTTTTTTTTCATTTTGTGCTGCAATCAAACATTCCCGTCTCCGTGCGCCAATAAATACGTAAAATAACTGAGATGCGCGACGACGGGACATCAATTGCGTGCCTCCAGTAAGGAGAGCAAATGATTGGTTCCTGCACGCATCTCTGATACCTACTAGCTTTTAATTCATCGATTCCTCTGCTATGCGCAGCGTATCGATACCAGTGCCCGGCAGTGGATCTGTGCGCTGCAACAGCACCACTCACATTTATGATGAAATGATGAATGAAAGCCTGAAATGATATTGGATGCGCATGAACCCACCACAAAACAAGTTTCACTGGTTAAAGCAATAACATTGTGTCGATGCTGGAGAAAAACAGTAGAAGGGTCCCGTATTGCCCCGCACTGTAATTCCCCATATGCAGAAGTATTAAAAGAATATTCTAAGAATATGAAGCGTTCAGTGTTCAGCGTTCAGGAGCTGACCTGTTCAGGAGCGTCTGCAGAGAAGTTTCAGCCTTAATCTCTCTCTTGCTCTCCTTGCCTCTCGCTTCGACGCTCTCCTCTCGCCGCCCGTCAAGAGAAGAATGCAATCGGCGGCGTTTGAGGGAGAACCTAAAGTATTCACACACGCCCTCTCTCTCTCTCATACATACGCACAGAGAGCCGATACTCACACACACTTTTTCCCCAGACGCGGGGATGCGCCCTTTCTATTTAGCCTCATTTAGCACACACTTAAAAAAAAACAACCCAGCCCACATGGCTCACATTGGAACATACCAGACCCATTAATATTTACTTATTAATAGTACCATGGGCATCCCCCATGCATTCTTTGCAATGGAGCGCCTGCTCCATTTGACACCACAAAACAAGTTGGTTGTGATTGTCCTCCAAAACAGCCCCATGTTACAGCTCTAGGGTTAGGTTAAAATACTTCTCGGTATGGAATGTTTCTTCTTGGCATGGTATATATAGTCTCTGCATTACTTTGTGAGCTAAAATAAATTTGTAGAATGTAGATGAACATGTTCTCAAACAAAGCCATTGCAAGGCCGTGCTCTTTTACGAGAAGCAGAGTATACTTGCTTCCGCCTACCTTGCTTGAGAAAAGTACAGATACGTACAGAAAATGATGAAAATCATACAATACAGGAAGAAGACATATTGTGCTTACATCTGAAAATGACAGTAGAACTAGCCATGGGTAACTCACAGACCTGCAATGGTGGAAAAATAACAACTGCACGATTTCTGTCACATACCTGATTCTTTAATATAGTCAACTGTACTGGCTAGTACTATAATAGTACTACAATCACTATGTCATATATACAGCCCTGTTTCATATGTTTCATGCAAAATTTTCATATATTTCACATTAAGACCTGAATTACAAACAATACTGTTCTTCCAACCACACGCTCTACAGTTTACATTTTTGTGGAGGTGATGTGAACAATGTACACAATCTTAAATACACACACATATATATAAAAAAAATATACATAAGCTGAAGTAGATGGGCAAAGATTTAAAAAAATAATCTCGGTCCAGTCTCTCTTTAGGATAAACACTGGCATTCCATTAATGAAGCACATGCTTCAGGGCAACTTTATTTAGATATACCGTAATTCTTCATGGCAAATATTCAGCAAGTTACTGGAAATGTCGCTAAAGGATTTTATCCACACTGATCACATCACCTAATGAAATGTCCCCTGAGTTTATATTTGGGCTACCCTTTTAATTTGCAGTAGTGAATGTGTCACAAATTCCTTTTACTCATTAAAGGTAAGGAAGAATATGAAAGAAACAAAACAGAATATTACCAGAAAGTTCTGCTTGGACACTTTAAGTAGGTGTTTGCATATTCTGTTGACAAAGAGTAATATTAACAATCACTTGTGTTTCTAACCACCTCTCTGTGGGGCTGACATTTATAGTGACCACTGTAACACTGCACACAATCATGGCAGCTCTTATTTATTTAAAATACGGATTAGTGCAGATTTAATGTTGGAAAAAGATCCTGGTTTCAGAACTTATCACCACCCACATGGTAATAGTAGTTGGTTTAGGCCAAGATTCATCCTCACCCAGCATATATACATCTGACGATATCAAACCTGACTTCTAGTGGTTTAACTTCTTACCTTGTTACAGTTATGTAGAAATGTCATGGTGCAAATCTTTAACCCGAGAGGACTTCAAATCATTGCTGTTTTTTTACATGGCTGCTAACCAAAACATGCTCTAAGTGTTAGAGCAGAACCATGCTGTTACTTATTTAATATGTACAGGCTGTATGTTTTTTGAACTCTGAAAGTAAACACACAGAAAATAGGAGGTTTGTTTTTATGCCAAAGAACAAAAAGGGCATTTTAATGGAAACCTTTATGGGAAAATGGACTGTTTTGTTACAGCTAAATATGATTCACTGTTTTCCTATTGCAATAAACAATGACTCATTATACCCGGTTTTGCTTAACAGCAGAGGCACATCTTTTTTTGGGTGAAACACTGGATATAAATGTTTTTATTATTCACTCACTTCGTGCAGACATGTATGCACACCCGTGACCAACAGCAGACATAGGCAGATCTAAGAGTGAAGACAGCTGGAATCTATTCAGTCACATGCCTTTCTTTTGACCATGCCTAACGTTAAAGAGTCAAAATATGATGAATGGTGTCTGTTTATATTTAAGCAGCCATCAGGCAGCCAGTCCCAGTTCAGAGAGAACAGAATATCCTACATCCACAACTGCGTCATCTGCCCAGACTGTTTCAAAAGCGTCGAGAGATTTCCTGTTGTTGTGACACAGAATGAAACGTCTTCCTTGGAGAAAAAAAATGTAATTAATACTGCCTCTGTTCAGAAGGGAAACAAACAAAAGCGACAGACAAAAAGTATCTTAAAATAATATTTATTTTTCCATGTAAGAGCAAGAACACTGCCTTCATAAATAATCTATCATGGCAAGCATTTATGTAATGATTAACAGTAAAAAACTAAACAAAACACTAACACAACACAAACAAAACCAAAAAACACACGCAAGGTTCGTCTAAAAATTACACTGGAGAAAAACAATCTATACATATTAATTGTTTGACTGATTGATTGATTAGAGTCTATACGTCTATACACAGAGCACCATATAATATGCAGACCATTACCTATATGGATGCGCACATACTGGAAGGATAGTATACTTTTACAGATAATGTGAAATTAAATTAATCTAATGCACTTAAAGGTTTAAAAAAAATTGCATATAACATTGATCAGAAAAGTGAAGCTTATTACAGTGACTTCTATTACATACAAACTCTTATAGCCATATAATCGTACACATATAACAGATAGCTGTGCATATGCATATACATGATGTGTACTGTGTTTGTTGTACTGTGTGTAAATGTCTCTGTGTTTGAGACAGAAGGTAGATTCAGTTCTGAAGCTCCATGGATAACTCCTCCAACAGACAGAGTGTCTGTCACTTCTTTATAATATCATATTGTTTCCTCCGTGGACTCAAAAATGTGTTGCAGCAGTCTCCTGTGAAATAAAACAGGAGTGATCAAATATAGAAGAAGCTCCACAATATTGTTATATTAATTTTTTCAGTTAAAGTTTACCTTAGAGAGAGTAACATGATAGATTTCAAATTAAGTGAACTGGAGATTCACCATGTTCTCCCTTTTTGAATTCAGGTGTTTTTAGTCCCATTGCCAAACCCTAGCCATGCAGTCTGTCACAAACATTTGTGAAAGACTGGGTTCTCCTAAAGCTCCTACTGAAATTGCACATAGTGCTGTAACAGTTTGCCACTGTTGCAAGACATGGGTCTAGATATTCAATGACCGGCTGTAAGTGGTGTTGTTGTCGAAAAGGGGAAGCATTTAGCTGTCACAACAACCCAGCCACAAAGTGGCAGGCAATGTAAACTTATACGACAGGGTAGCAGAGTGCTGAATCACATAGTGAGTAAAAGTCTCCAACACTCTTCTGACTCAATAACTGCAGATCTCGAAGACCTCCTCTGGCATTAACACCAGCACCAAGTCGTGCACAGGGAGCCTCTTTACACAGGTTTTCATGGCAAAGCAGTTTGTTATGTGCATTTGTCCATGTAGTGTGGGAGATGCTTCCTATATTATCACCTTCCAAAAACCTCTCATCTGCATGTAAACCCACAGTATGGATCCACACTGGTATCAGTATATAGTATAGGCTGTTTATGTGGATTCAAAGGGAATTCTGCATGCACATGACTATGTGTGATTTTGTTTTGTGTTTGCTTTTTGTGTGTGTGAGACCAACGGTCGACTTTTACATCACCGGTATCCCAGCATGTTTGTGTGTACTTGATCAGCTATCCCAGTTAGGATCACAATAAGGAACAACGTTAGGGAAAGCTGCTGATGTTAGCATTCATCAGGCCATCAATATAATTCACAATGCTAGGTTAAGCTAATAGCAGTGGAAAATTAGACAGCTATATGTGAGCGTTTTTGTGTGAGCTTCCCACTTCTTCTGTGAAAGGGCTTTGCTTCTGTTAATTGTATTTTACTCCCTGAATAGTCTTTGTTCCTTTGTCTTTCTACAGGAACAGAAACATTAAGACACGTAAACAATTAAATACCGAGGCAGACCAGGCAGAAACAAAAGCATACACGCCGAACAATTTGCGGACATGCATGGAAGCACAGGTGAATAAATGAGATTAGCTCACAGACGTACACACACGTATGCACACCTGTGCGTGCACACACACTGGCCTGGTGTAGGCAGAATATAATTTGCCTTTAGACAGAGGCTGATGGTGTGTGGTGGGTGTGTGAAGCATTTCTGATACTTAAATATATACATGAGGTGAAAAATTCTGGTGTTTTAAATTGAACTTTGAGTTAAACCACATAAAAATACATGTAGATACTCAATAAATTTCAAAATAAAGAAAATGTTTGCCATGTTTTTCCAACACCCATCTGCCTCAGGTTGTGCAGTCAATTTGAGGTGCAGGTCACACTACTTGGACATATTAAGGATCAATGAACCAATCCCGAAAAAAACATTTTAATTATTGTCTATAAAGATTAGCTTAATGAATAATTTCCACACCACTGACTGCAAGTGAACTCAATCACTCCCCTAATATAATTAGCAATGAAGTAAGGTAATCAGGAATGTGGCTTCACATTTTCCACATGGTGATTACAGCAAGATGGAAACAAAGTCTTTAAAGTTAAACATTACAAGAAAACAAAGCATGCAAACATAGATATAACCGCTCCCACTGTTCAAAGCACGCTATAATAAGCACCTTCCGGCTCCTTCAACTTCTTATTTAATGGACAGATTTGAGAGTATGCCCATATAACTCATAGGAAGAAACATAGTAACATCAGCTTCCTGCAAATTTAGCCACCCACAAACATCAAATTAGAGGTTGGGTGTTTGAGAAAGCAACAATGCTGTGCAGCTTAATGACTTGCAACAAATAAATATCAAAGAAAGTTTCCTGCTTTGGAGGTTTAAGTGCAAAGGATTTATTCTTTGCATTCTTCATCACTTTATATAACATCAAAGTGCATTTTGACATGCTCCATCATGTGCCATGATGTGTATGCTTGAGTGTTCATACCTTATATTCCATGCTTTGGCTCTGTGCTATGGCAGACTGACA